CATCAGAGGCAGAGAGAGAAAGATGGAGCGGAGGAGAGAGCTGGCAACAGGGAGCCAGTCGCCCGTCGGCCGGCGCGCCGCAGTCACGGCCGGCGCGGCGGCACCTCCGACCGTCACGGGCGGCAGCGCGGCGGCAGTCGGACGGTTCAGCGGGTCCGACGGCCTGCAGCGGGCCGCTCCAGCGCTCGCCGTGGGAGCGGTCGACGGCGTGACGGCGGCCGTGACACTGCAGCGCCGCCGGCCCGACGCGGCCGCCTGCCGCTGCCGGCGCGCCGAGCCGTCGGCCATCGGCAGCGCAGTTTTCCTGCCGGTGGTCATCGGACGGCCGGCGAAACGCTCGGAGACGGCCACGATGAGGCGGCCGGGCCCAGCGGCGCCCGTCGCGCCACCCTGCAGCACGGCGGTGAGAACCCGACCGTAGCGCGTACAGCACAGGCAGCGCTCCCATCCGGTGCCTTGTACTCCACCGTACGACCGACTGCCACGATTCAAGCCGCGCAGCATAGCGCGCATGCCCGACATACACCTGCGCACGGCTCCGGCGCAGGTGTTCCACCCCCATTACGTCCCCCTCCCCTCCGCCCGGCTGCGGTCAGTCCTAACACTGGGCTCTCCTCCCCGTGACAAGCACATCTCAGCTGGAGACAATAAATCGTTTTTGTGGGCCCGTCGCGGGGTCTGGGAGCCACACAGTGCTCATTAATTTGCCCGCGCGCGTTATGGAATACCCCGCGCGGCCGCGCGTTGCCGGTCACTCCGTTTTTCTGGCTATCCTGTCCCGTCCTCACCGCCGCTCTACTCGATCTTTACGATAGGACCGGGGCTCGCCGGACGAGAATGCACCGGCACGGTACACGGCGTCACGCCCGCCAACGGACGAGACGCCACGCCTCTGATGAAGCACACTACCGTTGTTAGAACATCCCGACACACGACGTACCGACGACCATGTCGCATTTCTACCTCACCGCGTCCACGAGCCGGACGGCTGACCGGGTGCAGCGTGCGGGTGGAAGCCAGCCCAGAGCGGCGCCGGGGGCAGAGTGTGCCGGGCGGCCAGGTAGCCGGCCGATCCACCTCCCTTTCTTTGTTCCCCACCTCACGACGACCAGGCCGGCCCACAAAAGCGCAGCGCCCAGTGGCCCAAGACAGATCGGCACCCTGGGGGAGCCCTCAGTTCGCGGCGACGACCGATAAAAGAGACGGGCCAGCACAGGGTGGCAGGTTCAGACGCTGGACGCCGCACGCTCGACGGCCGGTTTAAACGGCCGCGCCGCCGCCGCTTTGTCCAGCATTTCCGCGCTCGCATCCGAAGCTCAATGGGCCCGGTTCGAATCCGCCGCGCGCCGGCGCGCACGCGGCCCGATGCGGAGAATGCGCGCTGTTTGCGGAGGGCCCGGCCTTCGGCGCCGGGACGGCCGGCGGACCGGCAGCCGGGCGGCCCGCGGCGGCGCCGCCGGTCTCCCGTGCAGCGCGCGCGCCGCCATTTCGCCGTAATGAGTGCGGGTCGGCCGAGCGCAGTCCTTCGGCGCCCGCGGCGGAGAGATTATCGGCAGGCGGGTCAGAGGTGAGGCGGCCGAGACGTGTGCCCGGCGCCTCCTTGCCGCCCCCTCGACCGGCTCCCCGGCCGGCGGCGTCCAGCCATCAGGAGTAGGCAATTGAGAGGTTGTCGCCGTGTCTCCCGGCTGTCGCTCGTCGCGTGCCGGCGTCGTCACGAGCCCGGCCGCCGCGCCGGGCCGTGGGAGCCGCCACAATCCGGCACACCCCACGCTGAACGGGCGACCCGCTCTGCGCTACAACAGCCGCCGCCGCGCGCCGCAGGACCTGCACGGCCCACGCACCTGAAAGTCGGATCCTGTGAACTGCCCCGATTTGGGCCAATTAAAAACAAAGAAAAGCAAGCGAAAGCGTGGCCAAAGTACCGCGCAGCCGGGCTGCGGGGGTGGGCGGGTACAAAGACGAAAGGTTCCCCACGCCGTGGACCGGGCAAACGCCGCCGCCATAGGCGCTGGGCCTCGCACACGAGCCGACTGCCGTGGCGGCGCGCCGTCGGAGCTCTGGTCGTCTCGGCAGCTTGAGAGCGGTGTACCGTGGCGGCGCCGTGGCGTCTGCGGCGGAGCAGTCGAGCCCAGGCCGTACGGATGGTCTGCCTTCGGTGGCGGCTGCGGCGGCGACTCGATGCGACCACAGCCTCGCGGCCACAGTCGGCCGGGACCCAGAGCGGCGCGGCGCCGGCCGAGCGGCGCCATCCTCCCGCCTCCAGCCTCCCGTGCCTCCCAGTGCCGACGAGACGCACCCCTCAGCGCCACGCTGGCGCCGAACAGCAGCAGCGGCCAGGTAGATAGCGGCAGCCTCTGTCGCTGCCCGCCTCCCGTCAGGGGCGGCCGGCCGGCACCCCGGTACCGGAAGCCGCCTCGGCCAGGGGGCCGCTCCGAGCAGAAGAGCTCCGAGCAGCGGCCCCCACATTTGTCGCCGCGTGGCGTGACCAGGGAGGCGGCGGCCGACCGAGATCGGCGCCGCCGCCAACAGCCGCCGGCCCGTTCCCACGATTCCGGGGGTGCCTCCACCGACCGCGGTGCAGCACGTCGGCGATCACGACCATTAATTCGCCCATAAAACGCGGCCGCTGCCGGCGGCGCACTCGGAAGCGGCCGGGAGTCAAGGATGGCGCCGAGCGGGTCAGCGCGAGCCGGGGCGTGGGACCTGGCCCGGGGCCGGCGCGGCCGGGCGGGGGCGGCCGGGCCGCACCGGCCGTACCGCCGGCGGGGG